TGCCCTCCCCTCACACTCTACCATCATCACTCCCTGCCTCCCTGCCCCCAGCCCCCAGCCCTAGTACCTAGGTCTGTGCCACCTGCCACGGGGCTGATGCAACATTGCTCAGGCTTGGAGGAAGGACTGCATCTTGCTCATCTCTTCCCACCCTCTCTGCTGGGCACATAGCAGGCCTTTACTAGTGTCCACCTAGGAAGTCCTGGAAGTACACATGTGTGACTCAGACAGGAAGGGTGGGGTGCTCAAAGGAGGTAAGAATCCCTGGGCTGGGTGGAGCTGGGGGCTTCCTGGAGATGGCATCTGGGAGGACCCTCCATATGTCAGTCCAAGGCAGCAACTGGGGACAGGCTGCAGGAAGTGCCCAGGCCAGCCCTAGGACTGGCAAACCATCACAGCAAACCATCAGTGGAGGACTAGAGTCTGCAATGAGGGGGACTCAGTGCCTCGAGCCCAGGGGAGAGGACACTGGAGGAGCTGGCTGTGCATTCAGAGAAGACTTCCTGGAGGAAGAGCTACTTCTGGCTGGTGTGGGACAAGGAAGAAGATAGAGATGAGTCAGGTTGGAGAAAGTACTGAGGGACAGGGATACAGAAAAGAAAGCTCTGTCCCTTCTTGTCATTTACCCTTAGGATGTCAAGATCAGGGAGGTGGGGATGGGCAGAAGGAGCAAAGAAGACTGAGGCAGAATGAAGATAACATCTCAGTGCCGATGCCATGATCAGGGCAGGCATGGATAGCTAGGGCTGGCAGGGAGCAGGTCCCCAGCTGTGGCTGGGAAACATTTCCTGTCTCCTTGCCAGGGGGGTCATTAATAATCGTTTGCCCGCCACAGGCAGCAGAGGCCAGCCAGAGAGCAGCATGGTGCTGGAGCCAGAACCCAGCCTGGCAGCAAGAAGTGCTGTATTCTGACACCTGCCACCCTGCTGTGAGACCTGGACCAGCCACCTGAATTCTCTTGGTCTCTGGAGCTACTGGTGAAAGAAGGGCCTGAGGAGGATGCTGCCTTGAGTACCCTCATCCACTGGGCCCCAGTTTCCTTAGATGGAGCTGGGCTGCCAGCCCTACAGGGTAGTTCCAATCATCTGATGATAGATGTGAGCATCTGGACTCTGCCAGACCCAGCTCAGGACACACATGATGGGTAGAGGAGAGACCTGGGCCCAGCCTCTGCAGAGCTCCCATTCTGGCAGGAGCCAGACCCCAGACCAGAGGGTGCACATGCGGAGCCCCACAGAACCACGTGCCCCAGACTGAAGGAACACAGAAGGGAGGCCGACTGACAGCATGACTGAACACAGAAGGTAGGAGCTCCATGAGGCCAGTTTGGTAACCACCATGACCCCAGCCCTTAAAACTATATCTGCCTGGTACACAGCAGGTGCTCCATGAAGGCTTTTAGACAATTGCATAAGTTATCTGTTAAATGAGACATTTGTGAAAGGACCTTGGATTTTGGAAACAATTACATAAAAGATGATGACAATGACAATGTCAGTGACAATGAAGATTATTCCAGCCAGAGACAATGGGACAGAAAAGGAACCGTGAAAGCTTGAGAAGGCTAAAGGCCCAGGGATGGCCACCCAAAGCCAGTGTTACCTGGGGAACAGCCAGTTGCTTTCAAGATCCCTTTTACCAATCAGGCCAGACCTTCCTCAGTCCCAGGCTGCATTTCTCTGCCCACCCCAACACCCCCTTCAGGGCCCAGCTCAAGCCTATTCATTTCAGAGAACCTTCTGGAATGTGATACTGCTGCGTTGACCCCAGTCCCCTTCCCAGACTGTCTCAGACTTCCCTGTGCCTTCCGATCTCAAGGAGTCTTGGATGTTTCTTCTCTCAAGCACCTGCTGGGAGGCAGCCCAGTTAGGGTTTTCCCATAGCTCTCTCTGGAAGGTATGACCTCTGTCCTACATACTGCATCTCCCTCATCAGACTAGAGGGTCCCAAAGGTGTGACCAGCTCTCTCCTTATAGATAAGTGTCTCTGTGAGGACAGGGACTATTTCTCCCCCATCAGATGTGGGGTGAACACAAATAGAGCTACATCAAGGTCTTCCTGGTTTTCTCCATCAGGTTTCCTACAGCCACACAGAGAAGGGGCAAGGGCAGGTGAACCTGGAGAAGGGGGTCCTTGGCTGCTCAGCCCCACTGACATGAGCCAGGAAGGGCGCTGGGCCACCATGGACCAAGACTGCATGATTGGCTAACTCCAAGCCCAGCCCAAGCTGTTCTTATACCAAGGGGAGCCATCAAAGACACCACCCAGGCCTTACTGCCCGAGCCATAGCCTCCCCTCAGCGGAGCACGAGAGGTATAGTAAACACAGTGACCTTGCTGCCACGTGCATCCTCTCCACACCCTTCTTCAAACCGGGGCCCCAAACACCAGTCAAACTGAGAGGAAAAGAACAAAGGTTCCCAGACTGTGACATCGCCTGCCGCCCGTCTGTCCAGCGCCTGTTCTGCCGGAAACCCAAAACAAAGGCCTTGGTCATGGCAAGGAGGATGAAGGGCAAAGGGTAGGGGCAGCTGGGGCTGGGGGGGCATGGAAGAACATTCCAGGGCATCTCTAGGGACCTGATCAGGAGGGGAGCAAGGACAGGATGGCAGCCAAGCCCTCCTGCACACATGCGTCACTCCACAGACATTTATGGGACACCTGCTATATTCCACATGCCCCAAATGTTACAGAACTCACTCCTCACACACACCTCATGCACACACTCCCACCGCAGCATATTCTACAGTCCTCAACACCCCAACACACACACCGCTCACTCACTGGCCACCCCCGCCCCTCCTCACCACACACACACAGCTCACGGGGAGAAAAGATCACATAATCCACACCTCACACCAAAAAGTCACACAGCTCACACAGCCTCACTTTGCACCACACTCACACCCTGTCTCCCACCACATGCCTCACACACCTCACCTCCCCAGCCACAGGCCTATGCGTCCAATTAAATTCAACACACACGCCACCTAGACAGAGACACACACAGACACAACCTGCATTGATAATGTGCACATCTAATGTCACACGTTTGTGGCACACACAGCCCCTCAGCCAGCTCTGCCAGCCCACTGCCTCCTCCCACCCCACCCCACTCCCATATGCACGTGTACACGCACGGGCACACACCCATATAAACACACACACACTCTCACACACTTATCAACTGGCTCCTCGCCTCAGACCCCTCAGCCCCTTGCTTCACCCTTTCCTGTCCAGAATTGCAGGAGCAGCCACCACACAGACACATGATGCTCAAACACCAACACTCAGGTCCCAATATCTATATTCCCCAAGCAATCCCAGGATGTGCCACAGTGACTCTAAGCCAGCCACCCCGGCTCCAAACACATTGGCACACACATCACCCCCTGCCCCAACTCATCTCTGACAAGACAACCAATGGAAGCCATCAGGCCCCTGCAGTGGCCCTTCCTGGCCACACGACAGCCAGCAACATACACAAGCACATATACAACCCCATAGGCAAGTTGCTCCTACAACAACTCCACTGTGCAATGATAGCCATACAGTCACAGACCACAAGTTCCCCACACACGACAGGCATACACCCAGCTACCACTCCACAGCCACAACACAGCCACACACAGCATGAAATGCCATAGACTCACAATCCTCACACTTCCCTTCATCTCCCCACAAATAATCCCACTCGCGATGACACATTCATATATGGCACAACACACATGATGACACACAAGACACACCCAACACATGCAACCCAGGCCGTGCTACACACACAGAGGAACACACACAAACACATACACTCTAGACCCATCCAGCTTGGACACATCCCACCACAGGTGACTGACACCAGGTTGCAGTCTACGCTTCCCCATCCCAAGCCCCAGCCGCCTCTGCCAAGACCAGGGCAGCAAGGATGAGGGGCTTTATAAGTTACAAAAGCCAGTGCCCACCACATCATCCCCCCACCACCTCAGATCCCTGGGCACCACCTGAGGGCAGCACACTCCACATTCAGGCCTTTCCACCTGAGCCCACACCATGCCATGCCAAGAACATGGGGTGCAGGGGAGGTCCTAGGGACACAAGCACTGCTCACTGAGCCTGCCCCCTCCTCATGGCTAAGCAGAGGTAGATTCAAGAGGAAGGGGTGACTACAGAAAGAGACCCCAAAGCAAAGATAGAGACCTAAAGAAAATGGGGAGAGTGATCAAGACAGACCAAGAGAGGTGGGCATATGGGGCAAGAGACCAAAATAGAGAGAGAGCCCAGAAACACTTGAAGAGAACCCAGAGGAGAAGCCTGAAGGATAAAGTGGGACTGCTGCACCCAGAGAGAAACCAGAGGAGGGCCCCTCATGGGTAAAGACTCTGGGATCTCCAACACAGGAGGGAGGGCAGGGATCGGGCAGTGGGTCCTGCAGAGGAGACCAGCGAAGCCCCGATGGAAGGAGGATTTGGACTCTGGGGTCCGGTCCAGGCTGAGGACTGAAGTCCAGATGTTTGGGTGGGAATCTGAGCTGGTGCCCAGTTGAGGCTGTGGAATGGAGGTTCGGTACTTGGGGTGAGGCTGGCTCTGAGGTGGGGTCCCGGAGGATAGCTGGGGGTTCCGGTGCTCTGGGTGTGCCGGGAGTCCCACATATATGGTGAAGGTTCCAAGTCCTGGGCAGGGGTCCCCACTAATCTAAGGAAAGGGAGTTCGAGGCTTGGGCAGAGCTCTGTGTGCACTGCAGTCCCATCGTGGACTGGAAGCTCAGTGCTTGGGGTGGAACCCCGGATCCAAATGGAGTTCGGAGTCTGGGGTGACGTTTGGATTGAGAGCCAGGGCATCAAGGGCTCTTGGTCTGCGCTGCCGTCCCAGCACTGGAGTAGAATTCGGAACTAGGGGAGGGGTCTCCTCCCTGAGAAGGGTTCCGGGGACTCGGGGGCGGGTGGACCGGGCCCGGAGCTCTCCGGACACCCCGTTCTCCTGGTGCCCAGAGCGGGGCCCCCCTACCTGCAGGCTGTCGGCGCATGGCTGCGGCGGCGGTGGCGGCGGCGGCTCGTCCGGCTTGAGGAAGACCTGCTGGCCCCGCCTGAGGAATTGGACAACAGCGATGAGGATGTGGTGCAGCACCAGGACCATGCTCGCAGCCGCCCGCCCGCCAGCCGGCCCGGCCGCTGCGCTCGGTCAGCGCGTCCGCGACAGCTTCGCCGGGTCCGCGCGAGTGTCCGCCCCGGCCCCGCCCTGGCCCGCCCCCCGCCCGCCCCCGGCCCGCCCCAGCCCCGCCTATGTCCCCCGCCACCGCGGACCGCACCTCTCGGCCCGTCGGATCCTCCGACCCCACCGGACCCCCCGCCGCCGTCACCCCGCTTCTCCCTCCGCCCTGGGTTCCCACGGCCCTTCCAGCTTGCCTGCTGCTGGGACCCCGTCGGGAAGCCGGCTTTCAGCCTGCGCTCCCTGGCCCTTGCCCAGTCGCCACTTCTCTCGCATCTCGCAGGGGTCGTTCTCAGGGCCCCCACCCTGTCTGATCGCACCCTGTCTTCCCGCCACCACTTTGGGTCCCGGGCCAGCCAGAGCCCCAGGCGGAGACCGGCGCAGTGGGGTGGGGTGGGGAAGGAAGGAGAAGGGGAAGCGGGGCAGGGGCCGCGGACACCGCAGGAGCCTCGGGCTTGCTCCTCTCCCTGGACCCAGGAGGAAAGGGAAAGTGGGGAGAATGTTGGAGGTCGCTCCGAGTCGGACAGGCCCCCGGAGCAGTCTCCAATCTGCGAGGGAGACACGTGTGCACAGACACGGAGCGCACACACAGCGGCCGCTCCTGACTGGGCCCCCAGGCCTGGGCGGGCAGGTCTGCGTCGGCGTCCCCGGAGCCAGAGAGGGTGCAGGCCCCAGGGCCACACTGTCCGCAGTTCCGCGGTGGGACCCGCGCGCCGGGAGCGCGTTTCTCCGCAGAGCGGCTTCTGGATTCAGGCGCCTGAGGCAGCCGCGACGCTCCTGCGCCCCCTGCCGTCCCATCGCGGCGGCGCAGCCGGCCTCAGTCGCCGGCTACCCGGAGGGGCTGCGTGGGGGTTCAGCAGGTCACTGGGGTCAGCTCCCTGCCAGGACCGACCTGGTTAGCCTCCGCTTGGCATGAAAGCGGCTGGGGCGGTGGGACAGCTCTGGACTGTAGGGTGTGCTTGGGTCTTGTTAGGCCTTTGCCAGCGACTTGCTGCCTGACCTTCGTCCATCCCCTCCCCCCACTCCTGGGCCTCAGTGTTCTCATCTCCCTCACAGGACCCCCAGAAGGATCAAACCCGGGAATGGCGAGAAGGCAGAGTGCCCCGACAGCCCTCACTGGGTCCTGACCTGAATCTGCTCACCCCCATGCACTGCCCGCCCCTCTCTGTGGCTCCCCTCACCAACTCTTGAAGAGTGACTCAGTGAGCCCCCAGCCTCCTGGCCTCCCAACCTCCCTAACTCAGTTGGGTGATTCATCGGGGCCCTTTCTCCCTGGGGAGCGATTTCCTCAATGTTGAGTCACTGTGCCCAGTCCTGGACACAGTCCAGGCAGCTGGCACATAGCCTTGGCAGAGCCCGGCCACCCCACCAGCTCAAGGGGCGGCCCTGCATGCTAGCATTTCTCCAACCTTTCTTTCTGAGGCACTCTCTGGCATGCTCTCCCCCACTCATCCTCAGCGGCTCCCTACCACCAGCACAATATAGCCGGAGCCCTCAGCCTGGCGGGCCAGAACCGCTACAGCTGAACCCGCACTTGTTCATCCAGCTCCAACTCCCCTCCCACCATTCCTTACACTTTTACTTCTTGCTCTTCTCACATCAGTGACTGACTCACTCTCACCTGCAGGCCTCTGCCCATGCCGCCCTGCCCCCAATACCCTCCCACATCCTCTCCTCCTGCCTGTCATTTAGGGGTCATTTAAAGGCCCACCTCCTCTAGGAGGGCTTCCCTGGTTACTACCTTATCCCTCTGGGTAGATCTTTTTTTGTGTCTTTCCTGGGAGTCACATCAGGGGACTTAGAGGTGTGCAGTAAGTGATCTGGGCCAAGTCAATGTATTTTATTGACTCTTCAAAACAGGGGCAATTCTTTCTATTTATTAGCACTGTAGAGAAGATTACCTGGGCTAAGATGTGTACAGGTTCTGGCCCCACAGGGCCTCCCTTCCTATTTTTGACCTCAGTTTTCTCTTCCGTAAAAGGGGATGACCCATGTAAGGGCTGCAGGAAGGACTAGGTCTGAGCCTGAGCTTAGTGCACAAGTCTCTTGGTAAATTCTGAGCATGTGTCACTGGCTCAGTCCTGGGCTCTGGACAAGACTGGGTGGGACACAGGAGCCTGGGAGGTACCTGTTACAGCCACTGGCCAGAGTTACTTGTTCTTCAGGGAAAGCCACCTCAGACCATGGTCAACAGCCAACCCTGGCCTGGCACCGCCACCGTCTCTTGGGTTCCCAACTCCAGGCACCACCTCCACGGCACTCACCTCTTGAGAAGTTATTTCTTAAGTCTTACTTTAATCTCTCAAACTATAGCTCAATGACTGGGGTCGCTGGTGCATGCTCTATGCATCCCTCAACTCAGAGAGTCTTTCTGTGTCAACCTTTCAGATCCAAGCATTCTTCAGAGGGCTTGAGTTCTAACTATGCCATAGACTTGCGGTGAGATTCTGAGCAGGCCACAGCACCTCTCTAGGTCTCCATTTCCCCATCTGTGAAATGTTATTATGCTAGAGTGAATAAAAAAGCACACTGCTTTCTCTCAGTGCTTGGTAGAGTGCAGAGTCCTTTCACAAACACCCTTTCACACAATCCCTGAAATTCCCCAACTAGCGTCCTCCCTGAGGGGGCAACCAGGGCTCCTTGAGTTGGCACATTTAGAGGCCTTGCCAAGCTCTTACAGCAAGGAGTGACCCCTGCTTCTAGGACTCCTCCACCCACACACAAATCCCTGCCTCACTCCAGCTCCATGTTCTGTGATCCTGTGCTGGGTTCTCACCCTGACTCATGTTAGAATCCCCTGGGAGCATTTTAAATGCTGACTTCTGGAACCCCCATCCCAGATATTTGCAAATATCCTCAGGTGATTCTAATTTGCTGCCAGGTCAGAGAACCCTAGGTAGATGCATCTCCTCCAGGGCTGACCTCTGTCCCACGGAGGTGAGGGCCAGTGTGTACATCTGGGGCTGAGAGGCTTTCACATGTATTGAGCACACACTGTGTGCCTCACATTTCATCTTCTCAACAATGATATAAGGTGGGATCTATTATTAGTCACATTTCACAGATAAGGAAAACTGAGGCACAAAAAGACTAAATAACTTGCCCATGGTCACACAGCTAGCAAGTGGTCAAAATTCAAACCCAGGCCACCTCGCTCCATTCTGTGCCTTAAATACATTTCTTGGTTCTTGAGCAAAGGCAAGTAAAGAAATCAGATTTCCCAGCTCTTCTTTTGTTCCCAAGAATGCAGTGGCTGAGGGTCCTACTATCCCACTGTCTGTACCCTCTGCCATCTCAGACACCAAGAAGCCCAGCCCCAGCTTCAGCTTTCCTCCCAGCTCCAGCTCAGGAATGCCTAGCCCAGCCCCTCTAATCAACTCTTTTTGTATCCCCACCTTAGAGGCCACTTGGCCTGGAAAAGGTGAGTCAGCTGTCAGCCTGGGTCCTGGACCCCCTCAGCTTCAGGCCCTGTCCAGGCACCAGCCCTGCCTTGTTCCTAATAAAAACACCACCTCTCATTGGTATGACCTTGTGCTGCCAAAGCATTTCCTCACCCAGGCCCCATCCAACAGCCTCAGGAGGCACAGCGTTAGCCCCATTTTATAAACAGGGAAATTGAGGCTCAGAGAAATGTAGATGCTTCCCTGAGATGGCACAGCTGATTACTACAGGAATGTGGACCCAGGCCTCTAGACTCCAAACCCAGTGCTCTTTGCACCAAGGACGAGCAGCTACTATGTAACCCAGGCTCCTCTAGGGCAGGTTCACTCTGACCGTGTTCACCTTCTGCTCATAACCTTCACTGCACTCCCCATGGCCTCCAAGACAACATCCAAAGTCAGTACAACATGCAAGGCTCATCCCCAAGTGACTTTTTCCTGCTGCTTCTCCTGCCACTTCCTGTCTAGCCACGCCTGACTCAGCTGTACCCGGAACTTCTGGCTTTTTTTTTTTTTTCTTTTTTTTGAGATGGAGTTTCACTCTTGTTGCCCAGGCTGGAGTGCAATGGCTCACCATAACTTTGCCTCCTGGGTTCAAGTGATTCTCCTGCCTCAGCCTCCCAACTAGCTGGGATACAGACATGCACCACCATGCCCAGCTAAGTTTGTATTTTTTTAGTAGAGATGGGGTTTCTCCATGTTGATTAGACTGGTCTTGAAATCCTGACCCCAGGTGATCCACCTGCCTTGGCCTCACAAAATGCTGGGATTACAGGCATGAGCCACTATGCTAGGCCGAACCACTGGCTTTTCTTCCACCTCCTTGTCTTTCCCCAACCTGTTGCCCTCCTATTTTGAATGCCCTTCCAAAGGCACATCTGCCTATCAATATCATACTTTTGTTCATTCATTCATGCCATAAATATTTACTGAGAATGTACTCCATGCCAGGTATTGAGGGTAAAGAAATTTAAAAGTCAGATCTTTCAAGATGCAGGAAGAAAACCCCCATCCAAACAGAAGTAGCTCCCACCAATATCTCCCCAGTCTACACTGCCCTCTTCCTTCTTCCCATATCCCCAGCCCTCCCTCAAGAGTAGGGACTGTCTGATTCTTCCCTGAGTCCCCATGGTTGAGCCAGGCTGGGAGCCCTGTGATGCCCAGTGAGCTCTGGTAAAGAAGCACCGTCTCTCCATCTCCCACACTTGGTCCTGACAGATTCTCCATAGACTGTAAGTCTTTTCCTATCCCCCACAACCACGTTCCCTGCTTCCACCGGCCTGTCTGCTGCCTGACATGCATATATCCTATTGCCATAAACCACGGTTAGACCACCCTGGAAGCTCAGGTTCAAACTTGAGCCCTTCCCTGACATGCTGGGTGACCTCAGTCAAGGCTTTGACCCTCTCTGGCCTCAGACTTCTCAGCAGCCGTGAAG